CTCGTAATAGCTCTACATAATAATAGGTACGTATAAAAACAAGATAATAAAAAAATATTTGTATAGTTCATAAAAATAATTGAATATAGAATAAAAAAGCATCTGTAAGAGTCAGAACTCCGTCACTACAGTCGAATTTTCCACCGCCTATTTTGTATTATCAAAATATTCTTTGCAGAACAATAAATTACCGTCAAAAGGTTAAAATATCATGATATTCTACTTACAAAAAAAAAAATGGCGGAGGGGGGGGTTGAATGTTCAAATTGTTTAAAAGCACATCTTTGTTTAGTAAAATAAAAATGAATAATAAAAATAAAATAACTGGGGAAGGTAGAAATGTAGAATAGTATGGCGTGAAGGAAGCGAGATGAATAATCAATTACAATAGACACCAATAAAATATTGTATTGGTATATGGTGTGAAGTGATATTGTTACTGCGTAGTGTGTATCGTTCGCATGTGCATGTGCGTGTGGGATTATTACACGGTCATCGTCGCGGACACATACATGTACATACTAATATAAGGTCGTATTATATTTAATATTGACCGGCAGCTACCTACCTCATGAGATTACTTTATTCATTTGTTTGCGTCTACCTAATTTCTCTTACTTAATTTTCTACTACGAGAATATGGAAATAATCACTTACCTCGGTATACTGCTCGAAGTTCGCAAGAAGTTCGTTGCTCAAAATGAAAGGAGCAGGTATAAGGGTCCGTAGGTTTCGATGAATTGTTACAATAAACACAAGTAGGGTTTCTAATTGTTTTGTCACCAGACCAACTATGTCAATAGATATTTATGTAACTATACTCAGACGTCGGGTCGCTAATAAGTGACGACTTGCGGGAAATGAATCCGTTTAGTGTAACGAATCGCTAGCCGACGTATTATTGTATAAACATTCTGCTTTAAAAATGTTTACTATAATACAATATGTACAGACAGCCGTTTATCTTAAGTGACGACCACAGACCGCGGTATGTTAGGTCCGTGCTCAAGACAGTCAAACGTAATGCAGGGCGTGTATTTTATATTGGGGAAGTTACAGACAATTGTTTATCCTGAGTGACAATCACAGACCGCGAAATGTTAGGGCTCAAGACAGTCAGGCGTTATATATTGTGTGTGTGTTTATAGTGTGTTATTGGAGAAATAAAATGACAGACGCGTTCAACGTTTAATAGAAAACAAGGTGACAACAAGGTGACAATATGTACAACTACCAGGTTCGAAAATATGTGGATTAACCAAATACAGCAGCCCGCCTTTAATTAATTAATTATTTGTGTAGTTATTGACAGATTTAATTATTGAACATTTTTTAAGTGTATATTATGTTACAACATAATTGAAAAAATATGTAACATGTATATATTGTGAAAAACGTTTTTAGTTTATCCTAGATAAATGTGAATAATAAATAGTTTTAAAACTTATAACCTAATGATATAATGTAGCAATCATTTTTATGATTTTTTGTGATTTATGATTAACAAATCTAATTTTTTATTTTTTTTTTTGTTTTCGAATGTATGTGTATTGCCGATTTAAGAAGGATGGTTAAGTCAGAATCGAGTGGACTGACTAAGTTTTAAAATTATAACTTTTTGAAGTTCAGATATTATGAAGATATTACTTGTTCATTTTAAATAACTTTATTTTCTACTTCATTATACGTTTGTTATAGTCAAATGGCCATGAATACATATTGTCGTACTAGATGTAGTATCCCAAGTAGTATCGGGATTTTTTTGTTCAAAATTATCTAAAAATATTAAATCGGCGACTTTGAGATATATTATTAGAAATAATATTTTCGTTCTGGGGACCAATTGTTTATATTACTGGTTTTATTATACTTATGAAGAAAAGAATCTAAACATACGTGTGTTTCACCGGAAAATTTGATAGATTTATAAAAAGGAATATTATTATTTATTTTGTTATCCATTTTTTTGTTTGGATTTGTGTGATGAAAATTTGATGAAATCAGAAAATTTGAAATCGGCTATAATATTATATTATTTGTACTTTGTTAATCGAGATCTGAGTTCAAATAATATTGTTAGTATTGTTTAAGTTTTATTTTTTTTTAGTTTGAAAATGCCTTATTTAGTTCTTCGATTATTGACATTTCTACAAAGATTGTCTAGTGTAAACGTATTGATAGGTAAAGCCTATTGGTATTTAGTTCTGTTAATCGAAACTATAAAATTGGGTGTATTTGATATTTTGTGTGTAGATGATTTTTTAAAATGGTATACATTTCGAGAAATAGTACAAGTAAAAAAACAGATTGACATATTAAAATAAAAACATACCTGTATTCGATTACAATCAAATTATATTTTGAATAGGTATTTAATTATTGACTCGTTTTGAATGTATTTTTTTATACACGAATAAATTGTAATAGAAAATAATATAGAATTATAAAAAGTAGATATGAATGATCAAGTGTAGAGTGTAGAAGATAAAAAAAAAATAATAATAATAATACCAGCGTACAGTATATTGACGTTGTGTAATTGGATTATTTAGAAAATGTTTCGAATACGTGTAATATAATATAATGTATGTACGTAATGCGAAATGTCTGCGTTTTTGGATAGTTATAGAAACAAAGATTCAGTCACTTGATATATTAATGCTATATAATATTGTGTGGAATCTTTAGGTCTATAATGTGTGTGTACATGTGTGGTTTACAAATGTGTGTTTACAAATATTCGATATTTAATGTATAACAGTTGGTGCTAACGTCACACATACGTGGCCCTCAGGTTTATGTGGGGGGAGGGGAAGGTAAGGGTGTTAAAAGCTCCCGTAACAAGTTTAGGAAGTCCATATTTAAATTCGATCTGACTTTCATTATAACTTTAATCCACCTATAAAACCACTTTAATTCTTGAGTTAGAAATTTTTCAAAGAGAGTCCTTAAAAGTGCCTAAACGTATCAGTAAAAAGATAAAAATAATATTATCAAAATACAGTGAAAATCCCGCAATTAATTGTAGTAGATCAATTGCGTATAGCAATGTAATATATACATAATACATGTTATACATTTTTCATACCAACAAAATTATTATTAGGATGATTAGATATAAATTAATATTAATATTTTTCGAAAGTGGAAATGTATAGGTTTTCTTCGAGACTTCAGCGTAGTAAAGTTTTAAGTCAAAGATTCTTATTTTTCCAGGACCGCTCTTATCATAACATTATAACTTATTAATAATCTTTCAAATTATAAATATTTACAACAATAATATTGAGTACATTTTGTGAAGTGTACGTTTAATAATATCAATACATCTAAAACAAAATTGTTTATTTCAGGTACTGAAATAATATATTGTTGTTATTTTCAATAGCATAGCCAGGATTTTAAATTGTGGATGAGGCTAAATTTGTTTTGTTTGAATTATCAGTGACGGTAAGGAGATTTGGGATGTTTAAACCCCTGAAACACGATTTATAATATAGTTTTTATCAATATGTATTTAATGTAATACATTAAATACAAATTGAATGAATAACTTAACTATGAAATGTAATAGATTAAAATTAAATTAAAAATCGGGTAAGAAAAAGAGGGAAAATGGAAGATAGAGAAGGGAGAAGAAGAAGAGTATGGGAAAGAGTATGTATAGGGAAAGGGGTTAGACGGGGATGATAGGTATAAATATGTTCATATTCGTATGTATTACGTATGACGCGAACAAAGTGAGCAAAAAATATATGCTTCTGTTGGGTGAACTCAGAGTGGTAGTTTGATTAGTGATGTGTATGGTGTATTTAAGCCTTCCGCGGTCTTCCTCACTGATGGCTTCGCCACGTAGCTACGTTGGCGCCTCTATGTGAGCGACGCGCGTAATTAATATTTTGAATTATTATGTGCTGTATTAAGGTGGCAACACTGTTTAAGAAATGTTTGTGATGGAACTGATAAATGTGCAGTATAACCTTGATCGTTTATTATACAAGTATTCAATATATTACAGAAAAAAGAACAGAAGAACATAATATGCATAATGTTATGACATACATATTTTGTAACTATACTTATTACAGTCCTCTGAGACGGCTGCATCCTCCAAGGCGAATTTTGAGCAGACAATAATTACATCATTTGTTTAATATCTTTTTATTATTTATATGACCCATGACTAACTTATTAGTATTATTTTCTGGCATAATGAGTTTCGATAAATACATTTCCTCATGGTTTAATGTAGGGACTCTTTTTTTTTTTAAGGACCTGAAGAAATAATTGAAAGAATAATTAACACAGACATTATTTAAATAATATACACAAACCATAAGCTGAAGTCCTTTAGCTCACACTTGACTATGCCACCAGATATTTGTAAGAATGTTAAAATGTATTGGTGATTGCTAGATACTTAATGACGTACTTCGTGAAGCATAACAGCATAATGCAACTCTTTTAAATTTAACGATCCAAATGAAACCTTAAAAAAAAAACAAAATATTTTAACCGAAAAATATTTTATTTTCCTTATTAAAGAGATAGTTATTTTTTTCAATCGTACTTTTTTTTTTTAGGATATGGCGTGTTGGCACTGACAGTTGGTAATAATTTATAATTAAATTTTGTATCACGGATGTTATTTCTTTTTATTAAGTACCGAGAACGAAGTAGGTTGGAAAGGAATGATGTAAGGGGAACAAAGTCCGTCCCAGTAGTCATTAAATTTAATAATGTAGATACGGGGGTGAATTCTCAATCCCAAGGCCTTTTTAGAATAATTATTAGACGAAAACGTTATGTATTTACGTGGTACGTGTAATTATTTTATAATAATCACATAACGTTGGTTTAAATTTTACACAACAACCAATGGTACGTATATTTATTTAAATAATCATAATTGATATGTGTATAATAAACTGTTACATACTATATTATACCTACTCGTATTATTTGCCTGTATACACTCGCCTGACTATACCCCATTCTTTATGAACTGGGCCATTGGGTGCCTGGTGGCCAGTGGGCCAGTACCTAATTTGACCATGTGGCTTCAGGACGTTACAGTGGCGGTTTTTGGGTTTACAGGAGGTGTGACACAAATAATTCGGGTTGATTCACATCAAGACGTGGGGAAATCTGGTAATTTAGAAGAAATGTCTTCTTCTTTGAAATTAACGTCGATAGGAGGATCATTCATAGAAACATTTATTAAATTCAAAACAGTTGTATTTAAGACTATTTTGAATATACATTATTAACATAGCTATTTCTAGTTTAGAAAATCAGTTCCGAATTTCTTCAAAACTTATGACCGATTTAGCATGTTTTTAAAATTATCTAAATTTTAAACATTTTAATAATTATTCGCAGAACCTACTTTTTTTTTTGTATAAACAATTAACTTATGTGACCACTCTAGATTTAAATCTTGATGAATTTGTTAGTCTAAGTCCACTTGTGGATGTTTTAAATCGAAACCAGTTGTATTACTTGACCAATTAGTATACAAATATTTCAGACTAAATTTTTCATTGTGTTTATTTATTAATTTATGATTAGTGGGTTGTTATAAAATGTTAAAAAACAGTTTAAAAAAAAATAAGAAGAAAATAGTAAGAATAAATTCTCTTTGTATCTTTGAAACACCGAAATTATTTATTTCTTTTTAATTGTTATTTAATATAGGGTATTTCGTTATTCTACAGTGATATAGTTATTTCGTCTATAAAAATGGTCCGGATCAAGATGAGCATTTATCTTTAAAATTCTAAACTAAATATAAAGCATTTTATATATATATATAATAGTTTGTTTAAATAAATAAAAGTACAAACGCAAGCAAAAATAAAATAAACAAAAGGTAGAACTTATTCTTGTTATAGAACAGTTTGTGTGCTTTATACACAGGTAGTATAATATACGACGTCAAAAGAAAAAAAAAATCTAATGAAGTGAGCATTTAATGGAAACATATTGTATATAAATAAAAAAAAATATTTTCATACATTTATCAGTGTGGCAAATATAGAATGTTATTGTGTTTTACACCTGAACACCTTTTTTTTTTTTTTCATCAGAGGGTCAGCGTAAAATATATTATTGTTACATGTACAGTAACGCCAACACACACGACTAATAATTACATGTTTTGAAAAGAAAAAAACCGTAGTTGGTACTTGACACCGATTTAAATTTCTTTTTGACGGTAGATATACAATACGAAAAACAATTTATAAACGGAAAGCAAAAAGAGAAAAAAATATATAAAAAACGAATTTGTTTGATTCGTTTGACAATGTCAAACAATTACTGTGTGTAGTAGATAGTGTGCGGTTGCTTTTGAGTTGCTCATATTATATAACATGTATTTTCTCTAGGTACCTACAGAGAACAAAACAATAATATAATAGCCTTTATAATAATAACCTACATGATTTTTATTTTCGTAAATGATATTCACAGGTTCGTGAAATAAGAATCGCCCGTTGTGTATAATAATTCCACTAACCATACCATAGTATTACAATTACATACATACATATACATAAATATATATATATATTAATCAGAAACGGATCTAATAAAAGAAAATTTAAATAATAATTTGAAAACAAAAGCAAAGACCAAAAGGATATATTTTTTATTTTAAATTTAATCCCAGAAATAATACTAGAGTAATTAAATTTTATCTATAAAATTTTTTTTTTTTAATTAAGTAAAAATAATAATAATAATAACGATCTAAATATTATCAGCTCCGATGTATTTATATACTCAAACTCGATCCCAAAACTTTATGTGGATTTTTAGTTATTCATAATTTCCAATTCGTTGATATCTAAAAACTGTAAAAAGTTTAAAAAAAAAGTAATTCCAAACAAGATTCAGGGGGAAATTATAAAGTCTTATTGCAACTATATAATAGTCGTATTGATAGTGTGCAACTATCACAATCGTTGATTTCAATATTTTAAAAAAAAAAAATCAGCCCGTAACAATACTTTATATTTTTACATCACAATTATAAAATTCTACGTTAATATTATTCATATGTATATTTTAATTGACTTGGTTAATTGACCACATGTCAATTCTAACATTTATCACATTAAAATCACCAAAATATTCATATTTCCCGTACTAATTAGAGTAATAAATTTACAGCAAAATTAATAAATGAGTTTGAACACTATGAGTCCACGTGGATTGGAAAAATCAATCCTTTACTCAAAACTGTGATATAACCGCCACTGATCAGATCAGATATTTATATAATTTGAGATTAGATATCTAGATAAGATAAAAGATAAGTAAACAGATATCTAGATAAATGCGATCACTGGCTGTTCATAAGTTGTTATTTTAAAATTATTACTTGTTATACTTGCCTGTACAATATATTTCCAATAATTTTTTAATCATTGCGTAAGAGATAATTTTCTTCAGTATCATTAAATCTCTTTAAATTTAAATTCTGAAAATTCACAAATGTGTACCTAACCATCGTCTTTTATTTTAAATTTTTTTTAAAAATCCAGGACAGCTGTTTTATATATTTATTTTAAACCAAATGTTTATGTTATAAATGTTTACTAAGTAATAAAGAGTCGTAAATGTCATACAATTTATTTAAACTAATGATAGTTCATATTTTACAGTATTGTAAACTTGTAAAGTGTATAGAAAAAATTATTTTACAATAAAAATCATAGCACATGGTTCTAGTTATTTATACAAAAAAATACGAGTACTAATCATAAAATACTGAACAGAAATAATGTTATTGTACTTATACGATATTCTTGTAATAAATAAAGCATGTTTAAAATTATTATTTAAATCCATTTCTCCATACGAGAACTAATTCAATGTTTTAAGGGGCTTATCGGGAATCAATAGATACATATTTTTACCCGAGAAAAAATTATTCCTAGTTCGAAATAAACACATGTATGAAACTTTTCAGTTTATCTAAAGCTCAATTTTTATTGAATTATTAAATTATTATTATTATTCAAACATATCTTATAGATAAAAAGGAATTTCTACCTGTATCCTGTTTTACCTAACTCCCTTTTTGTGATCAATCTTCCACATCCTTCCCGCTGTTTGTTTTACTGTCTTTTGTAATATCCTAGTCCGTGATCATTATGCATCAGCCGACCGTGACATCCAAAGACTCAATACTATTTGAATATTTTATCAACATTGCCGGATGCTGAGTGACTTAGTAAGTAGATATACTTCCATAAAGTCCATATCAGTGAACCTCATATTGTTATTCACAATCATTCCGCAGCGATCAGCTACGACATCTAAAGGTATAATGATATTTGAATATTTTATCAATGTTCATTGTCACCAAATACGTTGAATGGATAATCCAGTTAGCAGTATATCTATAATATATAGTGGGTATACATTAGGAATTCAACGTATTACAGTCAAATTCAATATTATTTACATTCAAATCACGGGCTAATATTCTACAAAGAAACGTGTACTTTGAAAAAAAGAAAACATATTTTTGGAAACTATTAATAGTTAAGAGTTTTAGTAAAAACTCTATCGAGTTAAATGTACAAATTTCATATTTAAATGAAAACAAAAAAATTATTTTTAAATGTGATAATTATTTTGATCGTAGTATGATTTCTGCTAGAAAAAATGTTATGGATAAAAAAAAAACTAATACTTCTAATGGATATAATATTGATGGAAAGGTTGCATACACTAATTTTTTTTATATTTATCTGTACGAAACGATACATCATTGCTGTCGAAATCATTTTTTTTTTTTTTTTATTTATTTGACAGTTTTTCTCTATTATTGTAAAGAAGTTAAAGAAGTGTATTTGTTAACTATTTAAATGACCTTGCAACCAAATTCAAATGTGAGGAAGAGAGAAACACATAGGAATGAACGACAATATTATATTAATCAGCTTCTCTCAAGAAACAAATTTAATTTCCTGGTTGCATGAAAACAGTTTTACTCCATCTATCAGTTATGTAAAACTATCTATATAGTTAATGAACAGATTAGTGAGTACGTTAAATGAAAGTGCTTATTTTTCGAATGGAATAGAATGGAAATGCCCTATCCTTGAGTATTATAGAATGTGTAAATTCTTTTATTGTTAAGCACTCATTATTTTAGAAAGTATAGACTTTTTTCAAAAAAAATTAATGTTTTGAACATTTAAGAAATGAAAAAATCTAAAATGTCAAAAGATTTTCTTTTTCTTTTTATATGTTTATATTTTCCGAAATAATGAGTGTGCAACAACAAAAGATTTACTCTGTATCTTAACATAAATAATAAACACTTATGATTATACCTATTTACTTTGTTATCATCCATGGTTATTGATATACATATTTTATAAATAAACAGGTCTCCAAAAATGTATTTAAAGACTAATGATTAAATAAAAACACAAAACTTGTAAAAATGTTACGATAGGTCCATTACGAGTAGGTGGATCAATAATTTATCTAGACAATGCTTTTTACAACATTCAAGGCAAAAATTAATGTTTGTGGGTTTAAATATGTCCAGGGCATGATCTCTTTCAAAGAACACTCATGTTTGTGTATGATTAAATGTATTTACTCTAGAAAACGGTTTTTAAAGGTACAGAACCGATAGCCAGTTATCAGTCCTGTTATGTTTTATGACATGAATATAACACATATTATAATATTTTTGATTAATAAATATAAATAGATATTTTATTTTTGAGCGTGCGAGGGGTGAATATGTTTTTATTTGTAATAAGGACCAAAATATTATTATGATTTTGATGCATTAATTGGTATAGTTGATAATAATATTGACATTGATTTAAATGAACAAATTAGTTCATTATAAATATTGAAAGGCATGATGATTTTATTATCTTCTTAAAACATAATCTATTCTATCACATCGTTGTATTATCGTGAATTATGAAAACATAATATTATGTTATTAACAGTCGTCGAACGCCCTTTGTATCAAACATGAAAAACACTATAGATAATATTATGCTCACTCTCGAGATTTTTATAATTGATTATACCATGAGGGTAGTTCCATAAATCTGCGTCCGCTAAGTTCTATTGTATACAGGGACTTGTTACAATTTCTAAATTCAAAATATTAATATCATACAAATAATCCAAAATGATATTATGTTTATTTGTGAAGGGAAATAATTATTTAATATCGGTTTCGGACATTAAACCCATAATTGTAACTGTCGTTTTACAAAGT